TCAGTGCTCTCCTCTTCAGCCCTATCAGTTTTCATCTCCATGTTGTAGCAGAGAGTTCAAATGCTACTGTTCTGATATGCTTCCCTTTTTAAACCTCAGCTGTAAGAGTGAGAAAGAGCAAGGCAGTAATGAATTCGGTGCTGGAGTCCAGACCCCAAAAGCTACGTATGGACTCAACACGGTACTGCTCTGTATCTCTGGCACTTGGTGCAATTTTCCTCCTCAAACCTGGCTCAGGCCCACTGCACAGTACCTTCAGGGACCAAGGTGCCTTCAGCCAGCTAAGCAGAGAGATGGTTAAGATGTCCAGGCTCCTTTTCATCATCAGCTATCCACACTGAAGCAAGCAGCCCAGTCTTTTGGCAGTGGCAGGCCAAGGATGGACATGTGAATCCTGGGGAAGACTCAGATCCTTTGAAAGCGAGGACTGCAAGTAGCAGAAAGCACCAAAGGCACCCAGTCCCAACCAGCTGGAAGTCTCTTACTTCCCTGGACGTTTCTGCTCACTCTCCTGCCCGCCATCCCATCGATATCACTGACATAAAGTTGTTTATGAGAAAGAGGAGGAGCCGACAGTCCTCTACCCCACACAAATTAGGTGCTCCATGGAAATTAACTGCTAATAAAGGACCAGCTCTGACAATCCTGACAGAGTAAACTTAATTTCTGTAAGGACTGATGCCCAAGAGTCGACCTGCATCTCCTTAGAAAAGCTGTCTGCCCTTGGTGCCAAGCATCCTTCGATATTTTGGGAGAAGCAGTTTTGACAAAGCAGCAAGCAAATGAGTTTGTCCAAGCACTGAGAACCACATCGCACATCATGACTAGAAACTTTATGAACATCAGCAGCAAATTTCGTTTTCTGGAAGAAATCCCTCTCCCTTACTGCCCCACCAGAAGGGAGCAAGAACAAACTACTGTGAAGATGGAACGGAGAGGAAAGAATATTAATTTTCTCCAGCATCCATCACCTGTGACAGGTTAGGATATCCGTCAGAGACCCAAAACGTGTAAAAGTTCCCGGTCTATATTGTGCACCACTGTAACGACTCAGCCACAAGCCTTTCAAAGCTGGGACAAACAGAGCACATGAAGCGTCTCATCTTCATTAACATGGGAGGGAGAAGAGGCTAATACAGTGAAGACAAAAGAACAAACACACGCAATGCCTACCATCGGGGTGAGGCTTGGCAACTCTTATAACAGCAGGATGAGCATGTACACCAGGCTGCAATAAAAATACCCAGCATAAACTAACTGATAAATATCACCCCGTCTAACAGTGACAGAGACCGACAGCTTACTGAGTTGCTTTATCTTTCGCTGTGTAATTTCATCAGCTTTACAACAGCTTCACTGCTTACCTTCCCAGCAGTCTTGTCTCTCATTTCAGGATATGAAAGCGTAAGATAGCGATGTTCATGCTCAGGAAATTAAAGCTATGCAATATCTGTTTTAATCATCAGGATACTTACTTCTATTATAGAATACATAAACTGCCTTTTTCTTCCCCCCCCCCTTCTCTCATTCAAAGAAGAAAACAAGCATTCAGGAAGCGACCCTACCTACCATTCAGCATTACTCAGCCTGAGATTTTAAGTCATATACTATCTGTATTCCTCATCAAAACTTTAACTCTTGCAATGCCACTTGGGAAATGTTGGCAAAGCACTTGGCAAATACTAGCGAAACAAAAACTTTGTGAAGAACTAGAACTTTCTCAATCTTATATACTCGGCATTTGCACAAGTGCAGCCATGACAGCAGTAATTAAAGATATATTAATTTTATACAATTCAAGAATCCCCCAGACCTGTTCACTTTCATTGTAAACAGCTGGCTAAATAGTTGCTTAATTTCTGATTTTACAAAACTTGTTGATACAGTTTCAGAGACCTAGAAACACAGTGTTAAACAACATGCCCTGTTGTCTGTGTTTTATTATCATCATCCACCTGCACCTCCATCCACTAACTCATAACTTCCAGCTGAAGTCTCATCAGCCCTCACAAGTCCAGTAACGGCCATGTTTAACCAATACTTTTGACTAGACTCCAGGGCATCTAGGCTCACTTCACAGGTCTCTTTACTTTCATACCAAGCAAAACTAAGTCACTTTGAGCTATAGCTAACAAAACACTCAAGCATGGAAACACTCAATCACCATGTAGCAGAGGCACGCACCAAGTCAGACGCCCAGAAGATTCAGGACCCTTTGTTATCTACCTAAACAACTCAGGGGACGTGCTAAAGAAGAAAGCAGGACTTTACCAGTCCCCACAGGCAGCTGCCCTCTCCCTCAACTTGAGATTCCCAGACCCTACTTCTAGTACATAGTGTCTGGGTTTGTTGCCGTCGTTCCCCATCCCTACAACTGTCCTTTTGCAGCTGTTTCCACTTTGCAAATAAAGTTAACTTCTGTGTTGGGCACTGAAAAACCATGTACACCTTGCTCTGTTGCCTCTTCATCACATCTTAGCAGAGCTTGAGAGATCTGCCTTACAGCCCCTGCTCCAGTTAATATTTAAGCATGTTAAGTATGTTATGTGCTTACAGCACAGAGGCCAAGGCAGCACGTTATAGTGGATAATGTCACGTGGGACATTCGCTGCATCTTTTCATCCTGCTAGCAAAAAAAACTTCCAAAAACACTATATACTTTTTTTGAAAAGATAGGCAGTTTATACCTGGGGAAGGCCCCAAATGCTTTAACACTGAGTAATTTGTCAGGTGCTTATTTCTTTCTAACACGGGGGAGAACTGGGCTGCCCACTTATTCCAGTTAACTGTTCTTAATGGCCAAGAGGTCAGGTCCCACCAACGATCTCCCAAAATCAAAACAGGCTCCACAGCTTCCTCTCGCTTTCCAGTACCTCTGGGTTTGCACTGCGAGGAGTAGCTGAATTCAACTCTGGGAGATACAGACAATTGGACTATTTCAAGTTAAATATATGCATAAATAGGAAAAAAGTCCGTATCAGTGTACTGGAGCACCAGTTAATAATCTGCCCCCTTCACTAGAGCAAATACGAATTAGAGTACTGATCTCTAGCAGGCATGTTGCGAAAGCACAAGTTTTGCCATCAGCCTTTGCTGGGCGAAGAGTCTTCCAAATACCTGCAATTATTCATCCGGAACAAATACCTAGAGATGCTTTGCCAGAACAAACCATATAATAATTGGCTAATAATGACATCAGTTTTAATGACATGAAAATTTAGTTTGCTGTTCAAGGGTCTATTGTACACTCACTTTTCAAGGGAAACCACCTGGTTAGGTGCTAAATCATCCATCCAGCTACTCTCCGTTACCTTTACCAGCAAGTGAAATGGGGAGAGCGGAACCAGAGCTGCATCTGATTCAGAGTATTCCAGTTGGTTGCATTTCCATCTTTTTCTTAGAGAGAAATATTGTACGCTGTTACTATGTATCCTTCGCATGAGCTCTTAGGACTGCTGGGCATTCCTTACAGTCCCTCCACAACAAAAGGCATTGAAAGGCTTTCTTGAGGAAGTATCTCTACATAAAGGAAAGCAGTATATGCACTAGAATAAAATTTGTAATTACATTTAGCAGATATTACAGAGAATTATTAATCTCATTGCTATTATGTTTTGGCTGCAAAATATGCTAGGGAAAATCATGTAGAATAAAAACCAAAATTTTGGATAAGCAGGATGGTGTGCTGTAAAATTGCTACTGATGCCATCAGATCTCGGATCAACGTAGCTGTATCAGCAGAACACCAGTACTTTGAGCTTTTATAGACTGATACAGAAACAACCAGCACTAACACTGGTATCAGCCCCCAAAAGAAAACTAGCACGAGAATAAATATACTAATGAGCTTAATAAGATATAGGTATTATCAAGGGTCCATTGGCAGGCACTTTTGTTACAATTTATAGGAAATAAGCACCAAAAAAAGAGAAGCACAGAAGGCCAGTCAGCACGTCCTCCCGCTGCCCAGTAGAGCCAAAGGTGTCACTCCAGGGAGAGACAGACATCGTAACACTGTTTCCATGCTAGGAGAAGACTGAAGTCTTCAGAACAGACTTTCTATGGAGCTGTCCAGGATTCATAACTGGACTCTCTTCAGCTTTTACCCACTGAGGGGACAAGTAACAAGAAATTCAAAAGGAATCTCTGTGATGGGTAGAGGATTTCAGTCGAAAAAATGAAAACCACCCCTTTCGGTATGCATGCAGTTTCATTTGCTGCTGATGGAATTACTTGCCTGCACAAAACCACCATATTAGACAGGTTTACAAAGAAGAAAGCAAACACAAAATAAACAAACACACAATGTAGAATTTGAAAAGTTGCCCAAAACATCGCAAACCTTTCATGTGAGATTTTGTACACATTAACGCTGACTGGCCTTATTCTTTGTCACTCCCCATACAAAACACTGATAAGACCCCGTCTACCAGGCCAGAGCAGGGAAGGAAATTACTATTAAGCCACGCAAGAACGCTGGCACACGTACAAGGGGTATCAGTTGTCCACCACTAAATCTTAAGAAGAAAAAAGTTGCTAACTGGAGAAGTTCTGGAACTGCCTTCCAAAATAAATAGCTAGTGCAAACAGTATTTAACTATAAATAGCTAGTGTTAAGATAGAAAACAAGTGATTTTTAAGAGTGCTTGATCTATCACAATGACCTTCTCATATAACAAGAAGGTTCTTATTTCATCTATACTGTAAGATGACAATTCTCAAAAAAGTTGAGTTTGTGTTCAGTATTGTGCATGCATGCATTATAAATGACTACAGTAAGTACAAGGCAATGGAGAAGTGAACCAGAATACATAGTTCAGAAATTAGTACAGTTTTGTTTGAAGTTCGGCATCATATAGCTTTTGGAAGATCATCACTGAATAGGATTATTTGATGGTGTCTAACATTGACTTTTGGCTCTACCAAGAGTACGTTGTTTATAACATCACAATATTGAGAAAAATATTATTCAATACGCAATATTTAAGAATACAAGAAAATATATAAGATGTTAGATAACTTCACAAAATCTCATTATATTAATACTGAAGAGAGCTTTGCTTATTAAACAAAACCACCTCCATCTGTAAAACTCATAGCATGTGTGTTAACAAATCAGTATTAAGACATTTATTTGAACAACATTCATATGACACTGCATGAATACAAAATACAAATAACATATTACTGCTGACAGAAAAAAATACTGAATTGTTGGACAGATGATCTCACACTCTTGCATATTTTACATTTTAGATCTCATAGTTTCTGAATTTCCTCAGAAGCTCTGATGGAGTATCACCTGACCAGCGGAAACGCAAGTGCCAGTAATTTGCCTCTGAAAATCCTGAGAAAAAAGAGAAAGGAAAGTAACTTATTATAAACATGTATAAAACTAAGCTGTCTGAAATAATACTTGATCATCTTCCCCGAAAAGAGTAAGTAAAAAATCGGTCACTTCCAGTGCTCTTGACTAGCAGGGACAACCTCTGTATTCTTGGAACTGTTTGAACAAGAATCCAAGCAAACACCAAACTTCAAGCTACACCTCAGATGGGAAGAGCCCAAAGGAAAACAGGAAGAATGATGGCAGTCCAGAAAATAGGACTTCTGAAGAAAAACTGAAGCAATTGCATTTGCTTAATCTAGAGAAAAGGAGCTAGAGGGTGGCATGATAAGCCTCCAAGTACGTGAAAGGCAGCAGTGTGGAGGGAAGGTACAGATGGCCCTTTCCACATACAAGGGAGTAAAGGAGTTTTTCAGACCCTGCGCTATGTTTTCATCATCTGTGGGCTTTGAATTCTAAAAAACATGATCTTCCTATATCAGGAAGCTGAAACCTATTACCAGACGTCGTGTTAAAATCTCTTATTCAGGCTGAAAGAGCTACATGGAGTTGTAGTCCATAATTCTTACAGACCAGCAGACGGGAACCGAAAATATCACAGTTTACAAGTGGAATCCAATATAATCGATTTTCCTGGACCAAAACAAAAGCATTATCAACACCCCAACATCAAGTATGAACACTGAATTGCGTACAGGCCCTATTAAATTAATATATTCTAATATTAACATTTATTAATATTAATATATGCCCACTGTATAAATTAAGAAGGCATCTGATGGGTTTGATATTTTTCACATTCAAATCTGTGGAAATTAAATTGGAACTTCAAAAATTATTAGACAGAAGATGCCTGTAAAGAAAGCTCACCATTACAAGGAACAAGATGATGTTTTCTTTACTTTGAAATTTTACTGTTTTACAAAGGATACAGTGGTATTTTAATTACCAGAAACCAGCAAATAGTATAATGTTATAGAGCATAACTGTTACATATGAAGTTTCCAGTTATGCCTCACATACATTTGTTTGTAGAATTTTCTTATGTATTTTCTGCATTCCACAAATGTTTGATATTAAACTAGTTTCTGCTGCCCTCACAGTTCAACTTAATTTCCTGTTTGATCAAGCTGGGAACAAATGACAGGACATTGTTTAATAATAGTTCTCTGATAACATATGCCTGAGATTATGAAAATCCTGAAGGATCAAGCAGAACAGAGGGTGGCCATTGTGGTAACCAACCCTTGATTCAGGCGTACTAATCTAAACAACAAACAGGAAATACTAAGTGGCCAGATGACAGCTTTTGAAATACACATTTCTTCTGGTGCATGCACTATTGTTTAAAACACCTGTTCAGATACAAAAAAAGCCTTCAAGTCTCAATATTCAGTCCTTACTAACTCATCAGATGAAAACTGTGCGTAAGTGCTGAATGCTGCATAGAAAAAAAAATATATATATATAAAATACCTGATTTTTTTATTTAACATTTTTGAAGTTCGTTTTTTTTTTTTAACTCACTGAAAATAATTGCCTCTTTTTTCATTTTAATATAGCAGCAAAACTGAACTTTGCTTTTTGGCTTAAGAAGAATTTCTTTCTTCTTCTCCAGTTTTTGATTTTACTAAAAAACAAGCGAACAAACATCGGGTAGACAGGAAGAAAGGTCTGAAATCTTCAAAATGAAATAAATAATAAACAACATAAAAATCAAAACAAAAACCCAACCCAAAACCACATCAAAAATGCTACCAGTTAAACATACTATTGTGGAGAAGAATTTCTCATGACTAAAAGCCTCCATTTCAGGCCAATCCCTGCATATGGCAATTTTCTGTAACTGCTGGTTTCACTTACTTGGGGAGTCTTGAGTCTTTGAAGACTGTGGTTTCACATCAGGAATTGCAACATCTTCTTGCCCCCTGTTCCCATCTGACAATCCGTCTTCATTGTTTTCAGTCTGTTGGGTCCAAATCTCACTAGCTATGTTGTTGCTATGTTTGAAGTCAGGAGCTTCCAGCATTTGGTCCTTCTTACTTTGGACAGCCCAGTGCATTGACTAAAGAAATGCAAAAATAACAAATAAAGAACTAATTCCTATGCCTTAAAATATTTTTAAATAACTTCTCTTTTCTTCCTTATATTGTAATAAATGGTTACACAAAGCACGTATTATAGAAGCTTGCAGGTCAACAGGATAGGGGAAAGCACAGTTGCATATTGCAAATAGCATTTGAGAGGACAGTTTGTGTCAGGTGGGGATGAAGAACAAAATGTACAAGTGCATCAAATAATTCTAAGGGTCTTTTGTCCAGTTTATTCCATCATAACTTTGGACACTTTTTTAAAAGGGCTTGAGTGACTTAGAAAATGTCCATTTTCAAAGTTGTCTGACTGCAAGGTGCCCTTTGAAAGAAACGCAATTTGGAAAGCTTTAATAGTAAACTCTGTGGAATGAGCGATTTGGAACTGAACTAAGCTTGATGGGATACTTCCAGCAAACGTTTAAGCTCAAGCATGATACTGTAGCTGAAGAGGCTCTCAAACTTCTCTCACGAGCAGAAATGAGGCGGGCAGAACTGGTAAGGAAACACTTAGCCTGCCTCAAACTCTGACCTTGTAGACTTGTAACTATCATTCACCCTAATGAGGCAGGGGAAAAAAAATAAATCAAGCATTATGGAATTAGGATCTACCAGGAACACACTATCAAATTATCTCACTAGCAAAATTAGGAGGGAAAACAAACTTTAGAACATCTGTTTCTGTCACAACTCACCCCACTAGCCTAGCAAGGTCCTTCCAAAGACCTGTGTGAAGCCTAGAGTTCCAAGGGACCTACCTTCTAGATTTTTCAATGAGCTCTTTATTTAATCAGACAGCATGAAAACCTATCTGCTACCAAAATACACCAAAATGAAAATATATTATACAAAGGTCCTAGCTTTGAGAATAAATAAAAGGTTCCTACAAAAGCAAAGTGTGCTGAAGCATTCGAAAACAGCCCAGAAGTTACTTAATCTTCATACAATACACACAAAAGCAACAACTTGATAAATTCACTCTAAAACTACTAGCCTAAAACACTTCTGTGAATGGGCTTCTACAGTCCTCCAATTTTTCCTGAATTTTCTTAGCTTCCCTAGTGCAGGAATCACCCTGCACTGTTCCCATCCCCCAAACCCCACTGCAGCAGCAGTGTTGTAACTCATCCCCTCACTCACTGGACCATTTTTTTCCCGACCAGCCCCACCTGCCCCACCTTCCCCTCCTCCTGAAGGCCCAGACTTAGACAACACCAACCGTTTTCACAGAATTGCTCAGGGCCTCCCACTGCTGGAACGGAATGGTAATTTTGCTTCGTCGCCAGTAATCGTAACGCGCTCGACTCTCTTCATTAGTAAGAACCTCCTTAGCTTGCTGCAGCTTCTGGAAATTCTCCACTAGAACACAAACCAAAAAAATATTAACGCCAATATTTGTTTCCAAAGAAACTAATTCAGACGTGAAAGGGGAGCTGCCAATACAGGCTTAGAGCAAAGAGAGTAGAGGAGACAGGGGAGCTGAGTGGCAAAGGTATATGGTTGTTCTGCTTACAGCTTTGCAAAGTTTCAGCTGGCTTTAAGATTGCGGCACCCTCAGTGAACAACTGACATCCTTTTCAAACACGGACAAAAATGCTCATTTGTCTGCTGGCTTCAAAATCTCCTAAATTCAAGTTCAGAGAAATTTACAGAGTACAGCAGGCAATAGGCAAAAGCCACCCTCTGTAGACAACCTTAAAAAGGGAAATTAAACTAGAGTAATAATGCTTAGAAGCGACACACATCCACGGCAGCAAGGAAGTCAGAGCGAAGCACAACAGCAAGAAAACGTGAATGGAGAAAAAATATTGACAAGCAAAAATTAACAAGCAAGAAAAGGAATTTAAATACAGTTCAAATCAATTAAGATTTCATTAGGTGTGTTTTCTATATATGCAAAAATGTTATCTTAAATATCAGACTGCATGAAGGAGAGCTCTTATTTTTTCCTACAGGACAATTTTTCATTAAAAGGTTACTAAGGATGCAGGTGCACATTTCTATTTGTAGAAGGGTTATAAAGATTTAGATTTTATCTGTGAGTCACCTATGTTACAGTGATCTATTATTATTATTCATTTATTTCAGTTTACAAATTAGAGACATCTCTTTTGAAATACACTAAGCCCAAACACTAATCTAAATTGATAACCATAAATCAAACAACGAACAACAGGTTGAGGGAGCAGTTCTACTGGGGCTCCTTTTTCTAGTGCCACTAGTTTTCAACATATAAAAAGGCTACTTCAATTACTCTTTATTGAGCTTTAAGCTGATGTAATAAAAAAATATAAAGTAAACTTTCTCCAGTACTGTAACAAGGCATTTAACATAAATACAGCCTGTTCAGGCAAATGGAGCATAAAATATTTATTTATTAAAGGCTGAGGGAGCTGGGCTTGTTCAGCTTGAAGAAGAGAAGGCTGAGAGGGGACCTTATAAATGCTTATAAATATCTCAACGGTGGGTGTCAGGAGGATGGGGCCAAACTCTTTTCAGTGGTGCTCAGCAACAGGACAAGGGGAAACGGGCACAGACTAAAGCTTAGGAAGTTCCACTTCAACATGAGGAAGAACTTCTTCCCTCTGAGGGTGACAGAGCACTGGAACAGGCTGCCCAAGGAGGTGGTGGAGTCTCCTTCTCTGGAGATATTCAAGACCCGCCTGGACAAGGCCCTGTGCAGCTTGCTGTAGGTGACCCTGCTTCAGCAGGGGGGTTGGACTAGATGACCCACAGAGGTCCCTTCCAACCCCGACCATTCTGTGATTCTCTGATTCTATGATACCTCTTTAGCACTTGGCCTCCTTTTTTGAGTGACGTAGTTTAAGTTAATTTGGAGGGATGGAGGGTGGTGCAGGCTGAACAGGACCATGCACTGGAATAGTCTCCTTTCCCTGCTGCAATAAGAGAATTATCTGCAGAGAAAGTTGATTCCATCTGTTTCATTGGTACTTCTGCTATCATTTAGAATAAATTAACTATTCATCATCAGGTTAGTGCTAACAGGTGGTAGATTGTCTCTCAAACACCAAATATCTGGGGGTTTCTCCTCAGGGAAGCTCAAAGTGAAAAATCCCACCTCTTTCACCTTTAAATGCCTGCCCCTCTCCTCATCAGCTCTCTGATGTTAGGCTCGGGTGCGCACATTGATAAGGTAAGCCAAGCCAAGCCCTGCTGGGAGCTCTGCTCAACGCAGTGGAGTGTGAGTCTCATTCAACATGTTGGGCTCCTAGCTCTGCTGTCTCAAGGGAGGGTGTGGATGAGGTCAAACTCACACAGGTAGGTAGAGTATGGTGTTCAGTTTATAGCTAAACTAATAGGAAGAATCCAAAGGAAGAGTTTTGTTCATTAACCAGAAAGAGAAGCATATTTAATTATTCTACAACAAATTTTTGGTGAGGTCCATGATTATGATCGGAACCACTATTATGATAAAAATATAAACTATTCAGACATCAGTAAGCACTGATTCGAGCTATCTTGTGGATATGAATATGTAAGATTGCCTCCAAATAACTCAGGTGCTGCTTAGCTGTCACAGGTATGAGGAACTCCTCGCTTTCATAAACACAAGTGTTAGCTGCTGTTCTGCAAACAGATGGCTACTCATGTGGTGCTGACTTCTCTTTATTTCCAGTCATTAAATTGCATTAAAAGAAACTAAAGTACATTTAATGTGTTCCTGATGGACTTGTTCATGGAAGCAAATTAACTAATTGACACAAGTATGGCACTTGAATGCCACTGAGCACGGAAGCAGGCCAGTTTCATCGGTCTAGAAAGGGACACACTCCACAAAAAATCTCTGAATTAAAAAAAAAAAGGGGCTCCCCGGGGGGGGGGGGGGAGAAATCAAACAAGTGTTTTCCTGCTCTACCACCTAGGACTGTGCAAGTGTTAGAAAAGAATATTAAAGCTTGCTATTTAAAGACAATATGCTCCATACACATGACAACATTCACTGGGGGAATGAATATTTAGTAAAGCTTTAAGGCTCAATTTAATATCTTACTGATGTTAATATAAGAAAAAAAAATATATTGTTTTTAAATGGGAAAGAATACATACCTGCTTTGGTGTTTCCAGGATGTTTGTCAGGGTGACATTCAAGGGCTTTGATCTTAAATTCTGCAAGAATTTGTTCAACCTAAATGGAGTGTCAAGGTTTAAAGTGAGTAAATACATAAAGAAAAGATTTTCAAATTTTCTTTTTGAAAGGGGTTTGGGAGGAACAAGCATGCTGAAAGATTTTTTCCTATTGATTTTATAAGCTTTAGCACAAGCAAAATAGGTAACAACCATCTGTTACTGAGACTGCTTAATTAATTTCATTTTCCATGCACATGTCCTTATTCTTATTTTTGTGAAGCTCAGTCATCCAATCTGGCAAGTCGGCTTTAAGAAAAATGTGTAAAGATCATGTGTGCAAAACCCTTTCCTTGCATATGACCACATGGGCAAAACGCATCGCTTCAGCTGCTCTTCACTTTGTTTAATCACCTCTAACTCTTAAGGAATTCTCATTGCAGGAAGCAAAGACCTTCTGTATTGTTCAAGATCAATTTGTGGGACTGGGTGCCTTTCTCCATTTCTTCTTCCTAGGAAATTTAGCCAATACCACATGACTTTTCCATCTTGCATACCACAAAACTAGAAAACTAGCAGTTCACATTCTTCCTGTCAAGTTAATTTTCTGTGCAAAAAGGTTGGCTTGGAATAGAATAAATTTATAATCAATATTAGAATATTGACATACATTAGTTTATTAGTTAATTACAAGTTCCCACACAGTTTACATTACCATAAAGTATTACAAACACTGGAAAATCCAAGACGTATTAACAGCTAACAAAATACAGGAAATCACTGGAGTGCACATCAGCTTATGTTTCCAAATTTTCTGATTTTTCAAAGTATCTTGCTTCCTATTATAATTCAGAAACTACAACTTCTTTTTATCATTCCAGTACAGCTTAAGCTTTCACAGCAATATGCCCTAAGATATCATGATAGAAAGACTGTTCATGTAAACTCCTCACCCTTCAAACCCTGATATCCATATACAATTTAAATTATTCACTTCAAAATTAAGGCTCACAACCTTTTTTTCTTTAGAATAAAATTACAGTTCACTCAACTAGCTGGCCAAATTTTCTTGTATTACGCTGGGAAAAATGTGGTCTACCATCGTATTTTAACAATTCTACACTTCTTGTTCTTCTCAGTAACTTCTTCCAGAGGGACAGATACAAGGTGGTATACTTCCAGTCAGTAAGACACTTAAAAATATATACATTGTATAGAGAACTTGTTGAAACTGGTTACTGTACAGCTAGCTTCCACCCCAAAAACTGTTATATAAAGGGGAACTTTAAAGTTAAAATAAGCACAGTAGCAGAGGAGTAGTGTGGAAGTTAATTTCATTTTTAAGCCTTTTGAAAAATCATTAGCATACATACTTGAACTATTCATTAATTGCTATGCCCTTATGGAATTATTGTGAGCTAGGAAATGCAAAACAGCACCTGCGAAGCAAGGCTACACAGACACTTCAACGCCGCCTGCCCTCTGCTGGGATGGCTTCTCAGGAGTTAGCTCAGAAAAAGCTCTAAACTGCCTTCCGTAACAGACCCAAGATGCTCACTAGTACGCTCTCAGCGATAGAAAAGACAGTGGTATTTTCCCAGTGTTTGACCACTAGGACAGAAGAGGGCATCTGATTAAACTCACTGAGCAAAACACAGCTTTTATCCGCACTGAATACATCCTTCATTGCAGCAGACTAATCAAAACTTTTTCCAAAATCAGAACACAATTTCAGTTAATATAGCAGCTATATTAAAAATCACTGGCATACCACTAACTCAGACTATCCAAAAAATGTTATATGGACACGTTTAGGAAGAACACCACCTGTCTTAGCTACAAACTGTTCAACAATTGCTTAGCTAGATGTCATTCTAAAGTATGTATCTGCTAACAAAACAAACCAGTCAAACTAGTACTTGAATGTCATCAAAATTAGAATTTAAAAATCATTAATATGATGAATGAAAAAATATATTATTTTTGGTTTTCCTCCCAACCCATGAATACAGTTTTAAAAAAAAATTTTAAATACATATAACACCTGAGAAGCTCAATAGCATTATCAGCAATCTACAACTATGAACATTCATTGTATTAGTTGCACATAAATAGCTTTTAAAATAAAAAAATATATTCCAAAACATTATTTGGATGTTGGCAAATTTATGCAGTTGGCTCATGATTCATAAGCATATCACATGCTGAACTAAACTAATGAATAAACTATTAATTCAGCTGTAGCTATAATACAATCCTGTTTTATCTGACACTTCTAATATAAGCCTTATTCTACGATCTTAACCTTGGTATACAGATCAGAAAACTGAGCTTTGCGAAGGGAGATACTAAAAGATACAAGTGGCAAGAAAGGATGTTCACAACGCATTTCAAATAGCCCTGCCTGGGGAGATAAACAACTTCAAACCCCCCCGGCAGAGACACAAGCACGTTCGCAACGTTATTGACCCGAAGGGGAGCTGGGGAGGGCTCTTACCGTAGACAGTTCATCGCACCCTAGCAAGCTGTAGTAATCTTCCAAGTCATCCGGTCGGCAGTTCAGAATTGCATCCATCTGGACTAGTCCAGCGGGCTTTTTCAACCTGAGGCACACAGGGTGGAAACCACGATATCAACACAGAGCTCACGCAGGGGTTTACACGCAGCCTAGGGAAGCAGGCAGCTTCCACGCAGGTCTGCAGCTCTCTCCCCTGCTTTTCAGTACCGGCAGCTGACTCACACGAACTTTCTGGGATGCTCTGCCCGCCATTGGTCCCTGCAGGATGCCAATCCGGTTGCACAAACCTGCTGCCGGCAACGCTCCCTGGGATTTGTAGTTGCCAAAGTCACCGCAACGTTAAACTCTGGGTCTCGTCCAGACTGACGGGAGCTGTGAAGACCAACTGAAATCTAGCCGTATTTGAGATTTACATCACAGCACCACGCGTGTAGCCACTTAAAATCAGGCTCACTTTTCCAGGCTTTCCTGCACCTGAGCCTACGTATACTAAAATATGTTTTCTGCCTAATTTTGAACTGCAACTTTTGCCACAGTGTTTAACAAGGGGTTTATATGGGTAATTATAGAAAAGAGTAAGGATTACTTCCAAAATAACGATGACAGGGCTGCAAACTTTTGAGAATGAAGCACCGACCTCGCCAAAGCCTCTCAGAGTTCTGTCAGTCCCTTCCACAGGAAGGGGTGAATCGTTATTCTTTGAAGGATGCCTAGGGTATACACATACTATTCTTCAAAACCAAACAGCTTTTGTACATCAATTGCATGTTTGACAAAATTCACACAAAAAAGAAAAGGAAAAAAAAAAGAAAAAATTCAGACCAAAAAAAAGACAATATGAAATACTTACTGGCTACTCTCACATTAAATATAGACCCTTTCTCATGCGAAATTACTTTCAAACTGTGTCTTCAAAGTCTATATTGTGTGCAAAACACATTCCATGTAAAACTCCTTTTACATCTAAGTGAAACACCTTTAATTTTGAACTGTGATTAATGCTCAAGGCCTTAGTCCAACAAAGACTAGAGACATCTTTAACTGTGGTGCCTCCCATGATCTATTGCTTTCAAAAGATTACTTCCTAGTGGTAATACTAACCACTCACTGAAGTCTTTCCTCTGGAGCCTAAGGAGCGCTATTTTACTTTTTCCATCCCTACAAGAGCTTTGTAATCCAAGATGTTTAATGCCATTAAATATTGCTGATTCTTTAAACCAGCACTTACAAATAGGTATCTTGAACAGTTATACAATTTTAGATGCAGTGACCCAGTGGGAGAGTCTATGCAGAACAGCTACACAGGGCGTGACCGAGGCTGGAACAGGCGTGTGTTGATCAGTGGGGGACCTAGAGGCCATTCAGAACTGTTTATATAATAATTCCCGCATTTACAAGTGCTTTATTATCTGTATTACCAATTTGCTCAAATTATCTACATAGAATGTTAGTCTTCCACTGCTTTCCCTTCAATGTTTATTGTCTGAAATTTCTCTTTTCTGTATGTTCAGATAGCCTATTAAGATTGTAACACATATAAAGAACCTGAAAAGAAGCAACAATATTAAACAGCAAAACACAAACTTCAGTGAAAACATTTAAATCTGTTAGAAAACACTACTACCATATTTCTAAACAGAGTAAATAAAAAAATAGATATACTTTTTCAACAGAGTGGAAGAATTAACAGTCACAAATCTCTCCCTCTCCCCTGTTTTTAACTTCATAATAAACCAGAAAAGTATAGGAAAGAAAAGGAAGTCTTTTAGCAAGAGATCATGTAAATATTTAAATAGATTGTACTTTGGGGGAGGACAAAAAACAAACAGCTCTCCCTCCTCTCAACCGCACTCCTGACACACTGTTCTTGTCCAAGTATTTCTCGCATATTTGCGTAAGGTGAAAGGGAAGGCTGTTTAACCCGCTTTCCCCTCCAGTTTTCAGTGTCTGTTTCTGGGCTGCCAGGCCAACTGAAGGTCCAAGAGCTGGATTCAGACAACAAAACCCTGAGACTTGCAAGTCTGTTCAGACCAAATAAACAAGGGCTTCTATCCAAACTGCAGCAGCGACCATACTTGTGTCCCCCCTCCCAGAGATTTCCAGTGTTTGGGGCACAAAGGGTCCCACGGCACAGTCTGAAGGTCTGCGTGTGGAGGACACAACATGCTGATACTGCATAGTAACTCGGTCTTTGACTGCTCCTGCTGACTTCAGTGGGACAACTCACAGAGCAAAGCACCATCCAAAAAGGGAGGGCAAGAGAACCTGCATACAATGTGCAGAAAAAAACATAAAGATTGCCTTCAGGACATAAACTTTATCTGAAAGAGAGTCACAGCGCAGGAGATGGCACAGCTGATGTGTCTACACGCTTTGGTTAGTGTTGCTCAGAACGTACAAACAGTACTGGAAGTGAGGAAATCTCATATTTGTTCTTTGTACCCAAGCACGAACAAAACGTTTCTATCCATTCCTAATGCATTATCAATAATTTTGCTTGTTTAAAGCCAAGAGTGAAGCTAAATTCTGATTCAGTATAACAGGAGGTTTACTGTCAACCTGTAAGTGTCACAAATGGCCCTTCAAATAAAACAGCAAGACCTGGAATTCTGTATTTGAATTTATTCCCATAAAATACATAAAATCCTCCAGTACCAGTTCTTCTCAACTGACTTCGGTTGTTCTGCTTCCCAAGTACAGAGTAAACATTTTCAAGGAACTCAAGGCACAATATAACTCAAATCAGTTTTGCATTTCGTGCCTCATTCTTGTTCCCACAGATGCTCAGACTTGCAGAAACAGAAGAGGATGTAAGCACTACCAAACCGACTTCCCAGTTTTGGGGTAACCACTGCAACAACACCATTAACATGTACAAATGCTTGCAGGTAGGGATAGGACAAGGGGCAACGGCTTTAAAATGAAAGAGGGTAGGTTTAGATTAGACATAAGGAAGACATTTTTTACAGTGGGGGTGGTGAGGCACTGGGGCAGGTTGCCGAGAGAAGCTGTGGATGCCCCCTCCCTGGCAGTGTTCAAGGCCAGGTTGGATGGAGCTCTGAGCAACCTGGTCTAGTGGAAGGTGTCCCTGCCCAAGGCAGGGGGGTTGGAACTAGATGATCTGTAAGGTCCCTTCCAGCCCAAACCTTTCTGTGATTCTACAATCTTTTTAGGAATTGTTAATGCCTGAAGGAACCTCAGAAAATACCCACCCCTCCACCACATATACCATCTGTACATTCAGTTATCGATAAAATAATCCCTTGTGAAGCCAAAATCCACATATCAATAACTTTAACCTAAAGTTTTTTGAAAGCTGTTTTATCAAGGCCTGCAAGGAAGAAATTCTGTCTAATACTGGTTTTGCCACTGAACTTAAGAGATTCAGTTGTATTAAGGTCACTAAAACTACTCTGTAAATAGTTTGTGATGTTAAGCAGTGACATTCAACAAAACAGTATTTACATTTTTAGATCAAAACTCCATGTTGATAGAAGTCCTGGGATAGTGGCCAAGTTCTAACCAGGCAAGACTTCCAGGTATAAAGACACACCGTGTCTAAGCCCACGTGTGGTACCTCCGTATTTACTGTACAGTGACAGTCCACAACTCGGCATCGAGGCCGGCCACTAAAGACTGCCCCTACAGTTTACACAACAGACAAGTTCACGGGAAAACCACAGGTCACCGCAGCCACTAGCTGTGCACAGCCCACCAGGGAACGCTGATGTCAAAAAGAACACATTGGTGAATGTCGTTAGGCCACATCCCAGCTCTTGCAATTCGCCATCAGGTCTGTACTACGCTACGCAGGCTCCATTCTTACAACAGATGGGTGCTGAACGCCCCCAAAAACCTTCCTGTAGCTCAGGAGTTCCCACACCCGGTAACACACCTAAGCAGCCCTGCCGAGAGCTCAGCCTGCGGGAGCAGAACCGTTCCCGGGCAGCCAGCAGGCACGCCAACGTCCCCGGCAGAAGCTGCCGTCCTGTCAGTATCTCTCTTCCCGCCCTCAGCTCTGTTCCGCGCTTACAGCAGACGGATCGCCGCTCCGAGCCTCCCGGCAGCACCACCCGACCGGGAGCCGAGCTCCCCGGGAGGCGCCTACGAGTCTCCCCGGGCCGGG